GTGCAGTCCTGTTTTTATCCCTGCTTTAACTTTAACATAATAATTTTAGCCACATTAGCACAAACATAACTTTTAATTAATCACTGTTAAAAAATAATATAAAAGTAATACCTAATATCACCATGGATAGCATTTAAAGTGAAATATTAAAATCTTTTTTAAACAATGCAAGTTAAAAATTTAAACACGTCGTTATTTATGTCGGTTTCTATTTAAGGATAATAACACAAAAAATCTTTTTCTTTTTTTTCAAAGGTACTAGTTTTGTATAATACTACTAATATGTCATATTATTATTTTCGATAAAATACACTGTAAAACTGAATAGATTCAAAAGTGTAAATAAAACATTTTTAAATAAATAAAATAAAATGCTATAATTTAAAAGTTTATATTCCCACAAATATTAAAAACATTAAACACATTCATGTTCATTAATTCATCATCACCATTTTATATTTTGAAAATATGTTAATAAATTTTCGATTAACGATCGATTAAACATGACAACTCAGTTAACAGCAATCGACGGGGTAATCGACAACGATTAATGAAAAACCATTTATTTTATTTTAAGGTTTTATTATTTTTCTTTTACTAGGAAATACTATTGATAAATAAATAATATTTTCAAAATATCAGTTAACTTGGCGAGACAGTTTAAAAGCTGAACAGACCGAAACCGGCCCGCGAGCCGTAGTTTGGAGACCCCTGGTATATTTACCTCTTGACGAACAACCGCTGCTACGACCATACACCATGACATTCGTGCCAAACTTGCTGTGTATTTATCATCATATACGTACGCGTAATACGTAAACAAATATTATAAATGACCAATGTAGTATCACGTGTCACAGTTAAATACGATAAAGCAAATATAACCCCTTTAAGTAGGCGAAAATAATTGAAAAAATATAACTATTTTGCCTAATAAAACTGTATAAATATTTTTGTTATGGTAATCGGTAATCTGACTAATCTCATGCATTGTAACCTATAAACAATAGCCATCTCAACAACAATTATAAAATACATTTAACTTTACTATTTTTAAAGCGTAAATCGTGTGCGTAAATGTTTTTAATAATTTCATGTCCAAGTCTTAAATATTTAAAAACGTATAGGTACTTACAATAAATTTAAACAGAATCTACCATATTAATGAAAATAGTTACAGCGGAATACACAAATACTACAAAAAACAACAAAGTAAATAATTGTCTAATGAAAGGACATCAAGGTTTTAATATTGATCGTAGTGTAGTATCGTACTGATAAATACTAATAATGATAATTATTGTTGAATTGTCTAAATTGAACTCAATGTGTTAACAATTAAAACATTTTTTTATAAAACAGTTGTTATTTTCATAGTGAAAAATAATTTAACAAAAGCAGCTAATCACAGAGCAAACACATACTATAAATTCAACAACATTGTGGAACCATCAGAAGAAAACATTCGTTCAACTTTCGCAGATAAACATTAACTCGTGTTGTAGTGCTTTAGTAAATAAATAGTTTTTATTTTTACAATAGAATCACAATTCAGCATAAACAAAGACCTGTTCTCATCATTAAAAAAACTAATGGCTCAATTACTTCTAAATCTACTATAGATCCTTGTGGCTTACTCTCAGATTCGTTTGAAAATTAATAAAATTATCAAAATCATCCACACTACCCTAACTGTAATCATTTTTATTGTTACCTGTACTAAAATATTTTACTTCGGCATCAACACATATTTTTTGTAACCGTTGTTGCTTGTGTTCATAATATTTTAATAACCATCGAAGTCAATACGTTGTACAAATAGTTCTTAAATTATTTTTTCGCATTTTCAGACCTCAGCATTTTTCAAGTATTTTCCATGTAACATATCTGAAATTTCTAATTGAAAAGTTTGAGATTCAGACATCTTGTGTAAATATGTAATTATTAACCATCAACAAGATAAGATGAGTTTTAGATAGAATACTTAGATATACGACGAACATACTAAGATCTAAAATAATTCGTCAATGTATTGCTTACCTATATATGATAAAATAATGTATAACTATGATACGGTTTACCAATATTATTAATACTATAGTCTCCAGTATATAAAATTAGATAAGTGACGACCATTTGTCAAAAATTAATTTAACAAAACAATATATTATACCTGTATAAATCTATACATTACACATAGGTACCAAAAGTGTCGCACATTATCTGCGTTAAATGAGATGAGGTTTTGTTTTAGAATTTTATAAATGATTTGTGTAATAAATTGTATATTTAAAATTGTTTAAAGATTAGAATAGTTGTATTTTTTCAATCTATTTTGATTTCAAAAAAAAAAAAAACGAATCTTCATTTGTAGATATCTAGTAACTAGAATTTGTACACAAAAATAGATATAAGATACGCCCCCAAAAAATATCAAAATACAAAATACTAGATACAATAATTAGTTTCAAAAGATACCAGATACAAATTTATCTAAAATACGTTTTTATTAGATACATTGCCTATACCTGATAAATATTATATAAGTACAATTATTTAGTATTTATAATAAAAGGCTTATAGCTGTCCCATATTGTGCAAAGTATTTACTTAGTATAAATTATCATTAACAGAACTAAATATAAATAATAGTAAACGATTTATTACATCAACATATAATTAATGATATAGGAAATAATTGCATAAAAATCGCATAAAAATTAATAACAACGTTTTGGTTTTGGTTTTTTAATAAAACACAATACTAAACAAATACAATACAATAGAGGTACGAAAAAAAAAATTAAACGGTTTACATTGATTAACACATTGTTGTTTATTTAAAATTAATTAGTTTGGGGGGAGGTTAAAGTGTTTAAACAATCTATACAAAAGGAACCGTCGTTAATCGTTATAATGTACAAATAAAGCTACGGAATATTTATTTGTTTTTAATTTTTATTGATATAGTAGATATTAATTAGGACACCAAATATTATTACAATTTATACATGTTTTAAATAAATATTGATTAGTTTAGTTTTAATGTATATAGATTTAAGTTTTATTTGTATCCATTTAACATTTTAACGACTATAATATAATATGTCATATACGTACACGAAAAAGGCACTCCTTTAACAATTAATAATAAAATTGTCTATGATAGCTATTTAGGTTGCACAAGCATAATATTATATTTGTTCTCGCCAAGATTATTGTATAGAATAAAATATAGATCGTCGTAAGAAAAACAAATTATAATAAAATATTACAAACATTTCATTATTTAACAACAATAACTAACAATAATATCATTTATTCAAACATAAATACGATTCTTGGCGCTCGGTACCCAGCTATTTCACTGTCGGTTTTGAGCAATAGACTTGATTAAAAACATAAGCCCAAACGTTTCAATTGATTAAAATATTTATTTATTTATTTTTTTTTGGAACAATAATATTAAAGTTAATATTCATCAGTATGTATATAAATATAATGTATATTGCATACCTACCAACGAGCGTGTCTATTGTAGATACACAGTAGTGTATACATAATTTTGTATGGGAGAGGAGATCAGAAAAATAAATTTAAATCTAGGTACATGTCTATTAAAATAATAAAGAATAAAACATATATATTTAATACATTTTATTTAGATACTACAAATAATTGAAGAACAAATTTAATTTTCTTTCTTTTTTTTTTAGTTAATTCATCAATTACTTTTTCAGAATTAGAAAACAGAATAATTATAAGAATGTTCTAACATACAAGCAACTAGTAGGTAGTATCAGTATCCACAAAATTGACGATATTTTTTTCAGTATAAATGGGTAAAACCCGCCTGTGTATTCAATTTTTATTTCTTAAAACTTTTTCTAATGTAGGAAAATTTATTATTAGCTGACTGACACGCGGTTACTGATTAATCATTAGTTTAACAGCGTACCGTATTTTGAAAGTAACAAAATAAAAATGTACAACAATCCTAGCTGATATTTTTATGTTTCCTAGCTAGTAACACTCTTACACTGGGAATACTATTTTAAAAAATTTTAAAAAAGGCCTATTTCGGAGATATTACCCTACATCACCTGTTGTATACACTCCTATGGATACAATATATTTATATAATATCAAAACGATTAGTGTTTAGACAGTGCCTTGCGAATGTTATCGAGATATTTTGTTTTTCTCTGTTAATTCGATATAAACATGATATTTTATAAAATGGCGTCAATATAAATCAAATTAATTTATCGAATTCAATAAAATATTATAGTAATCGTGTAAATACAATAATTTTCAAGTATTAAAAACATAATATACTAAATATGTCGCAATTACGTCGTTTAAAAAATGGCGTTTTGTAAATGAATAAATAATAATTCGGTGTTTTAGTGGTATCGTTAATTAAAACACATAATAATTGTACTCATATTGCATAATAATGGATAACTCGTTAATACATAATTATTATCACTTATCAATGACTATCATGCTTTAGTTATACGCTTATTTTTGAAATTAATTTCAAAAACATAACAATAACAGATAATATAATATTTTTTTAAATAAATTAAAAAGTATAGGTATATATTTAGAATGCATATGTAGGTACTGTAGAAAACGTAAAACGACAGTCTTTATATATAAGACATATAGCAATATATTAATACATAATAGATTTAAAATATTCAGGACGCTTAGACGTTTTTTTTATTACGCGCATAGCCACTCTAATAATGACCAGACCTGCCAACTTTAAACAAAATGAAAACAAATCTTAGCAAAAAAAAAAAAAATGTGTAGAAAAACATCTGAAAATACGTATTACTCTTGGCTAGATCTGCGAAATAATTCTAAACATACCTATATACCTATAACTTTCGATTTGTAATAACTAATATTCTATACATTTGATTATCAAAATCAAAACTCGCTTGTTCAATTTTTTTTTTAATCCGAATGGAAGAATAAACGATAAGTCATACTTTTCACGATCTATATTGAATACTTTTGTTAAAATATTGCAGAAAATAAGCATATAAATCATTAATTATGTAACATTAGATACACTTAAATGCATTCTTCGTTAATTGTCAATTAATTACTATTATCGACGCAAAATTGCAATTGACTTTATCGTAGTATATTATGTCTTAAATAACCATTATTATAACTAATTAAATACTGTAAACAGACTATTGATAAAAAAATGTAATTTTCACAATTATTTTAGAATAACATTATAGATTTACACTTATACTAAAGATCAAAATAGGTTCACAATAATTACCTAGATAATTTGTTTATTATTGAAAGACCAACTACCAAGTCAAGCTACTTATGTTTCAGTTATGGATTAATGCGACAAAAGTACAATCCTTATTCTTTGGAGTGAATCAATCTTGGTACACATAAACTGAGAATATAAAATACATTTTTATTAATATTTAAATGTCACATAATAGTATAATAATTTGTCACTTATAGAAACTATTAGATTTATAGTAATTATTTTCTACCCTATCGAAAATAATACTTAACAAGAAGAATTAAACTATGAACAAATTAATCATTATTTTTTTCTTTAAACGTGCTTCTGATATTGAATATATATACTTATAATAAGATATACGTGTGTCAAAGAAATATTATTGATGAATTATGATTAACATTTTACTACTAAAACAGAAATGGTTAACATACAATCACATAAATTTCGCTTTATATGTTCTATATATAATATATATATTTATATGTATATTATATCGTAAGCATTTAGTTTATATATTATATTATATAGCCAGTGTTATAGGTTTAGTTATCTACTCATCGATAACGACATAAACAAGAACACTGAGTCTTAATATATAATAGGTAGAACCTTAAAAATAATATGTATAGTCGACCTTGAAAAAGAAGTAATAAGACGATGAAAAAATCTATCTAAGCGTTCGACTCTTTAAGATCGTGAAGTTTGGCCAGCTGTTTGGGTTCGAGCTCAGACGGCAAGCCAGTGTCGGCATGGTGATCGGTCTCGAGCAACTTCAAATCGTCTTCAGATTCTTCCAATATTGTGGCCGGGAAGTAATCACTGTCCACGCTCATACGGTGCTCCTCTTCCGATTTCGATTCCGATTGGACTTCCTCGCTAGGGTGTTCAGTTTCGGTCTTGACCATTTCCGATTCTTGACCGAACGGCTTTTCCGGTTCTTCCATCATTGGCGTGGCGGCAGTGATGACGATTTGAGCGACGCCTAGCCCTTCGGACGCAGGTACAGGTGCTGGTGGCGGGGGAACATCGGGAGGTTCAGAACCGTCGTCCTATAAAGTAATATAACATAAATAATTACGTACTATAACAATATTGGTACTTATTTTCCCTAGTGGTAAGTTTTCCATCATTTAGAGTGTCTGTAAATAATTGTGTAATGGACAGTTTACATATTATTATTATTATTTGACTTCGGTTTACCCGACTAATTAATATTGTCGGAATAGTTTAATTATATGGGCGCAATACGATTGCGAGCGGTCCTTATCGCGGTACCTACTTTTTTAGGCGTATGATTGTGTGCACTATACTATTTTTAATTTTAAACAACGTTGTCAAATATATAAGTTCATGGTACGATACTAGATAGTGTAGTTTTTTGATCGATGGGCAGGAGTGGAAAAACCTTATGATTACCTTTGTCTGAGGTAAAATTTTAAATACTATAATACATATTATAAAAATTAATGGTATTGACTTTGATATAATATGAAGGTTATAGAGATGAATAAATTAATTTAAAAAGTGTTTAGATTATTAAAGTGTTTAAACTTAATAGTTGTAGGCATATGTTTAGTACTTACTCCGTAAACGTTTTAGATGTGTAAATAATAGTAGTTGTTTGACATTTTTAGATCACGTTTTAGAGTTTAATAAACATAACTATGCGTATAGTTTATACATATATATATATAATATATATATATCCTGTATGTGGGTAATATGCGGAGATAGAATCGAAATGATTTGATCGTGCGTTAAGTATAGAAAGTTGTACAAACAATAAAGATGTACTTGAAGGTAATTTTAAAATTTAACTGTTTTGTTCTATAAATATAAAAAAAGAAAAATAGGTTTAGTAAACTAACTACTGAATTTGTATTAATAATATTACCTTGTTTTCTATAAACAGTTGTGGTACACCAGGCGCTGTACATTTTAATTACATAAAAAATTATTTGTATAAAATTATTAAAACAGTATTTTAATTTGTCAATTATCTATAAACATTAAACACTTACCGTTTACTGATACTGTGACAGAAGATTCCTCCGTAAACTGCGTATCATACTGTTCTTGTTGATTTTGAGTTATCACCATTGAAAATTCATTCGATTTGGGTGGTACTAAAATCCCAAATAAAAATATATAATCCAACGTCAATAATGTATTTTAAATATATTGATATATATTTTTATTCTTTTTTTTATTTATTGATTCGGTAACATCATTATATTTATATTTAATATGTATAAAGTATATATAATTAATTTACCAAGCATACATTTATACTTACCTTATTTTTAAATATGATTTAATTATATTTCAACTTTTTTTTTTTATTTATCACTCAAACAATTTTTATTAATCTTTAAAAAACTATTTTAGCAATATTGTTGTTACAACCGTAGAATTTTCACGTAATAATAATATTATGTAAATATTTTATTATATTTTAAAATCAATGTTTATTGCTTTTAAATAACTATATTAAAGTTATATTACTTTTTTGATTAATTTATTCTTTGTTTTCATTATACAAATAAACAATGAATCTTGATCAATTATTCATATTCTATTTTTACATTTAGTAATATACAACTACCTTTACTTTTTTAATCAAAAACTCTTCTTTAGGTCATTTTTATTTTCAATTTTTTTTAATTGTCTTGTATTGTTAATCTTTCACACGTGTTACTCACCTTCTGGAGTAAAACTTCCAGGAGGGCCATGATCACCAATTGGCGTTGGTTGAGTGACAATCACTTGAGTCGGGAACAAATGTGTTGATAATTCGGGTGGTGTAAATACTGGTGGTGGTGGCGGTGGTGGACCACTTGTAACAAATTCGGGATGATCTTCATTCGAAAAATCACTATCTCCGTTTTCAGATGTTGGTGTGGGTATTAGTTCACCGTTCTCGTAACATTCTTTTACTAGGCATGACGGAAAATGTCCCATCATGCTACCCAACTCACCTACCCACCACCCGTCATCCACATGTGTAGTCTTGTCAACTACTTTGATAATTTGGCCTTCTTTCATACCCAATTCTTCAGGATCGTTTCCGTCATAATCAAATAGGGCTATACAATATGATGGTATTTCTATGATGCCTAAAAAATAAAATAAAATTACATTTCTGATAAATACGTGATAATATAGTTAATCGATTGAACGTAATCATATTTTAAATTTATAAGCAACAAAAATACATTATACCTATATTGTTTAATTTTTAGAAATCGATTTTTATAACGATCATAATATTACCTCCGTCTTTCTTTTCCCACACTGTAGTAATGCTTTTTTCTGATGACTGTTCTTCAGCTTCGGCGTCTTCGTCAGACTGACAGTGCTGTGATTGATTTGTTGCCTCATCGTTAACCATATAGTCCACTGAAGAGAAGCTAATCTGCGATCTAAGTTGGTAGGTAGTAGGGGTGTCGTGTGTTTCTGGATCACACGTTTCTTGTTCGATATCCAAATAATTAGATGGTACATACCCTACTTCACCTTTGTAATTTCTTGCCTTTGACCAACCGTAATTATCACTGTCTACGCTAAATACTTCAAGTTGCTCATTTTCAACGATACTTAACTCATCAGGATGTTGAGCCTGAAACATGCATAGGAAAATAATATTAATTCAAAATGTTTTAAATTAACTTATGATACATGAGTGTATAAAATGTATATATAGAGCATATATATTAGAGAATTAACAGGATCAGAGTTAATTTAAAAAAAAAAAAAACAATAAAAAACATAAGACTAATTTTAAATTAGTTATATAATCAATGATAAAAAATTAACGATTCAAACTCAACAATATCGATTTCATCATAAAATAAGAAAAGACACATTTGATGTTTTGATGATTAAACACCTTCAAAAATTATTAAATCATCTATTTTAGTAAAATAAAAATATAAATTCTTTCAACATTATATTCTAAAAATTAATTAATATAATACTAATAGGTAAAAAAAGATCTTGTACCATTAAAACAAAATCCGTCAAACAGACAAATGACAGACAACAAATAATATCTTAGTTTTTAATGTATTTATATAATTATATGTATCATATACTTAAATATTTTATGTAATTAAATAATTTAAATACCAAAAACAATATATAAAAACTTTGCCCAAACCGGAATCAAAGAGTTTTGTCTACTTAAGTGTCCTACTAAATGTACAAACATTTCATCCCTCTCTCCTCTACAAACATAACAAAATTATACCACTAGCAGAATTATAAAAAATAAAAATGTATAAATAAATTTCTAATTTTATTTTTCTTACAGTATAGCTGTATAACGCAGTACATTTGTAAACAGGGCCTTCAGGTTCTTCTGGAGCAGTTTGAGGATACATCGTTTTTTCTTCAGTGTCACGTGTTTCTTCCCAATTTACCTGAGTTGGATCGTCCCAACCAGCTGTTAATTGTTCAATACGTTGACGTTCTTTTTCCACAAGAGCTAAAATATAAACAACAATAAGATATGTGTATAAATAAAAATATGGTTATAATTAAAATTATACACAAATAAAACTGAATATTTCATTTTTAGAAATGCGATTTATTAACAATTCTTATATGAAAATTTATTAATACATAATAAAAAGGAACATACAAAAAGTTCTAAAATAATGATTTATGATATAAATAAAAACAAAATACCCCAATCTTTATCAATTTCCGCCGAATCTGGCCGATCTTCTTCATCTTGAGATGATGGCTGTGGTTGATCGGTTGGTATTGGACTGTCAGAAGGTCCGTCTCCGTAATCCTCACTATCATAGTCAGATGTCATAGCACTAGTTGTACCTCCATCAATTGGTAATGAAGATGTACTATTTGATCGTTGAAGTTCGGCATTTATATCACCCATGTCTGCTAACCATTCTTCTACATTAACTATGATAAAAAAAAAAAAAAAAAAACAATCAGCTTATTATGTTTATACAAATATTTAATTTTAATTTTTTCCTTATAACACGTAATTGTTTTAACTTTTAACAAATTTTTATGAAGACGAATGGATTTAAGTTACCAATAAAAATTTAAAACTTAATAGTCTTAATAACTCGTTGGTTAAAAGCTCCAAAACAATAAAAAACAATCTAAGTACCATTTCCATCTCCATTTTTCAAACACTCAATACGAGATTCAGCTTTAGCTTTGGCTATCTGAAAAAGAAGAAAATGAACAATAAAAAAATTAATTTACTCATCATATTGTTATATAAATAATAAAAAAAAACCAGGAAAACCGCTTCTATTGAACACTTATATGATTTCAAGTATATTTCATCGTTGAAATAAATTTAGCTTAATTCAAAAATAAATCATTGGAGATAACGGTGTGAAGTGGACTAATAACTATTTACCTTATACGTTGTTATATATATATATATATATATATTATTATTATTATTTATTTATTATTTTCATAATTGTTCACAAAAAATCTTGCACATAACTTATACATTAATACTGACTTACATCGAGAAATAGAAATAATAATATAGAAGGTTCGTAGTATATTAGACTAAATATTTTGAAAATTGTATCATTCATAAAAATATTAAAAAATATTAAAAATGTTTACGATAAATTTTTTTAAACGACATCAAGTTAACTAAAATGGTTACAAAAAAGTTTATTTATAAGCTATTATTATCCATGTCTAAATTAAATAATTAAGTACAAGTATAGCACTCTAAATGTACATATTGATTTGTGTTGCCATTATGCAGTAAATAATTATAATTTCATCAATGCTTGTAATAACATGTCAACAATTTTTTTTTGCTAAAATAATTTATGAAAATGTCACTAATTGATACTAGTATTCGTTGTGTAATATTTTGATAATTTCAAATATCGCACACAAGCTTATAACTTAGTGTTATGAAAGTAAACATTTTATTGATAGGGTATTACAAATTGCAATATTAGTTATTATGCGTTTTGTATGCAAAATTTGTAATTTTATAAAAGTAATTTTGAACTCATTGTCATAAAGCTTACTTCAGATCTTCGAATGCTGTTTTTCAAAGATTCTATTTTAGTTTCCAAATCAGGTCCATTTGGATCATTTGGGTCGTTCTATAATGAATCACAAAAATAAAATAAAAATCAATTTAATATAATATTGTCTATTATTAATATTGTTAGAATGGTTACAAATAGTGATCTCTCAACGTTTCCGCCAATATAAACCCCCATTAAATTAATATTTATTAATAATTAATCGTTTATTAAGCACTATATACTATTTTTAAAACCAAGTAATAATAATCTATACGAAATATTTCGTATTTTTTTAGATCGTACGCAGTATACTAATAAATCACGCTGTCGATTAATGAATTATTCATCGCTGCAAGAATTCACGAAATGGATACTTATTTTCCAACATATAAACTTGGACATAAGCTGTTTCGCGTTTGAGATGTAATATAATGTTATATATGTATTTAACTTAATAAATGTTTCGATCAATAAAACAGTCTTATTATATAACTAATGGAATTACATAATAAACCAAACGTTAATGCCACATGCATTATATTATAACTTAATTTACCTTTTGTCCAGAATCTCTGAGAGCTTGGAAAACCTGTAGTTTTCTAGTGTTTTCTTTTATGTTATTTGTCTCCCTAATTATTCGTGTGGCCCACCTTTTTGCTTCTTGACTAAGTATAGTCACTACTCCACCGTGATCCGCTGTGATGTGATCTATACTGTCTCCGTCACAAGGTTCGAATTGGTATTGAACATGTTGCTTCAACACGGGGTAGAAAAGGTATACGCATTGCATGTTGTACTCTCGACTTAACTAAATTATTATTTTTTTTTTTATCAGAATTTTTGTTTCATTAAAATAAAATTAAACAGTATATGACATTTTTGTGAACAACATTTATGTATACTAACTTGTTGAGCTTGGTCTCTGACTTTTTTAAACGAATTATGAACGACAGTACACGTAAGAAGCTCAATTTTACTCATTAATGCCAAATATTCTTGTACTTTTTCATAAACATTGTGTTCCATAGTCTAAATTCAATAAATAAAAATATTTTCTATACTAATTTTTTGTATAAAATTAAATAATAACCAAGTTAAATAAATACCAAAAAAATTAATAGGTAGCGTATTGAATTATAAGCAAATTATTGTACTTTATCCAAAGTTCTTTACATATAAAAAAAAAGTAATAAAAATATCGTTGTTATTTTAATTACGTAATTTTAAAATAACAAGTAACGGATAAACTTGAAATAATTAACTTAACTTTAATGAATAAATTATATTATATAAAGTATCAAATTACCATATAACTGCAATATCATTGTATAAAGAAAAGTATTATTAGTTAAAATGAACTTGAAAATTAAAAATGATTACTATGAATTATATTTATAGTTGTAATAGCAATTAAATTAAATTTGTACATGTTTAAAGTGAGTATTATTATGGAATTCATTAAAACGTTATTCGAATTGTATTTTTATAATACATTATAAGTTTATAGATTATAGAAGTTGTAGTTATATGTATTTGTTTACTCACATTCATTACATTTTGAAGATCAACCAAAAAATACCGTGTCTGATGAGCATTTGCAGCAGCTAGACTCAGTAAATAATCGTTTCTAGCTCCTGAAGATTTTTCTTCCAAAACTTCTCTTCTGGAAGACACCTAAAATTATTAAAAATTATGCAACAATTAAAATAATATACAAGACATTTGATTGTCATTAATCAGTGTTCTGTATCTATAATGTCACTATAGGTTTCAAAAATTAATTATAATTTATTACATTGAACTAAAAATTATAATATTTACTTTTACACTATTTTTTTGTAAAGAAGTGATTGACTGGAAGAACGAGCCTTTTTTTTTCTTTAACCTGCAACAAATACCATTCACTTAAATTATAAAAATTATTATAGTGTATCGCATATTGACTAATGTAAGCAATTTTTAGCAGTTAATCTAATTTTTGATCATAACCTAACACGTTATAATTAATGATGTAAAACAGTTCATTTAAATTCAAAATAAATGTAAATAATATAATGAACTAGTGTATTAAATTGTTATCATTTCATCAATAATACAAATCATCCATCACGTTAATCAGTATAAAATACGCAGGTAAGCATCTTTTTTTACGTAGACTTTTAATCGATCTATATAGACTAGTGGTGCCCAACCCGCAACCCACGAACTACATGTGACCCGCGAAGGTATTCTGTGTAGCCCGTTACAAATTTTCAAATAAAACAAAATATTTAAAAAAAAGTAAAATTATATTTATTTATTTATTTATTTATTAATAATATAATAATAATAATAAAATAAAAAAAGTTTTAATGTGTAATTTTAACTTGAGTTTACTTTACTAATATAATTAAAAATCTAGTTTGAATTATGTATAACAAAATTATATTATTAGATTAAGATTGGGATTATTCGAACTTTTATACTTGGTGGCCCGCTCGAAAATAATTGTTTACTAAATTGGCACTCCGAAAAAAAAAAGGTTAGACATTACTGATATAGACGATGTGATTTATACTTAGTATACGTGAAACTTTCAGAATATTCTTATTATAAGACCAATACTTTTATTGATATGCTTAGATTTTAAAAAATAATTAAAATATACAATAAATAACGAATTTTTAATGGTTTATAAAATAATTAAAATATTGGCTTAAATTAATTTCATTAAGTTGAATATTCTCGCTTTATTTAAATATTTTCTAAGCTTTTTTTACCCTTCAAAAAGTATAATTACAATTTCACTCTTATGTCAGATCTAATATACTCAACATATTTTTTTATCCTGACCAATGTCTAACAATTAATTTGATAAAATAAAAGTACATTAATATATTATACACGTATTTTAACAATAAATTAAAAGTTTACTTTTCTTCTATATCCTTAGCCTTGTCTCTCACTTCATGAGCACTCTGTTCTTCATCGAAATAAAACTTTTTTGTCTTATCTACGTCTTGAACGGAAGAATGAAGTTCTTTTTGTACCAATGCTAAATGATCTGTACACTATAATCATATAATAATATATAATAAATATTTTAGTTTAGATAATAAAAAATATGTTAAAGCCATATTATTATTTATGTTTTAATATGTGTACATAATACACAACATAAATTAATGAATTTTAATATAAATTCATATCCAAATTATATTTATTGTTTATTGAGAAATGTAATTGCAGTTATATTATATTATACAGTGCATAAAAGTACAATCATTCATTTATTCTAAATATTAAATATTTAAATCGTATACAAAATATTAATACAAACAAAATTGTAAAATAATAATTTTCACATAGCTGAAGGAAAATATTTTATTACGTGCTAAGTATTTAATTTTCATATACTATAATAATTTTCTTTAGAATTTTAAGTAAATACTTGCAGTAGATAGTTGATTGTAAATACATTTTCATAATTTATTGCAATTTAATTTCTATATTTTTTTATAACAACGAAGTTCTAGACTCTAGACAGCATTAATTCCCAGCCAAGTGTCACCATTGGGTTATTTCTTATTTCAAAATATTCATGTTACTATTATAATATCATATATACTCATTGTGCTACGCTATACAGATTGTGTATTTCTAATTGTAAAAAAAAAATATATTTTTTTATAATATTTTAAAAATATTTAAAATGGAATATTTCAATTAATAAATCATATTTGAAAAATTTTAAGGGTAATTTACTACATAAAATTCCAATCTCTACTTATAAATTGTAAGTCATACACAATTAACAAGTGTTTCATGGATCACGATTATCTTTGAAAGTAAACTTTTCATAAGAGCATTACGAAACACCTCAAATTAAATGTTTAAAAAACTGGATAAAATTATGTTTATAGCTTACTTTTTTTGCAATCTGAAGTTTATGCGCCCGAAGAGCTTTCGCCTCATCATTTATTTGGTTTTGTAAAACTTCAATAGCTTCTAATCGTGCTTTTGCAGCTGTTTCGTTTTCTTCGAGAACTGTTCGCCATACATTCCACATATTCCTAAAAGTAAGTAAACATATTTTCACAATTTTTTTCATACACATTTAATCTATATAACCATATAAAATCATTAATAGTATCAAACAAGACATTTTAGAATAAATAGATATACAATTTAATAATATTAAAGACAATTTTTCTTTTAAAAATGCTATTATTTTGAATAAATAACAGTTACGAGTATTTCACATTTGTAATCATATCACCATAAAAGTTACTAAAGTATAAAATAATAAAAAAACATTAACAGCTCATCATTAAGCTTAGACATTGAATATTTGCAGTAATACAAATATTATTCATTTGATTTGTTTTAGAAAATAATATTAGCTACGTAAATAAAAATCTAGTATAATTCTATTAAATTGCAACATATATTTTTAACAAATAAAAATTTTAATATAAATCTATTATACTTTTAATAAACATCTAGATAAAACTAAAAATAAGGTCTTTGATAAATTTTTTGTAAAAATATTACAGTTATAAGTTAAGCAAAACTTTTTATGAAATTTAAACGCTCTGACATTTTAAACGACATTTTGTTATTTTAGAATAAAACATAAAATGGAATATTTATATGATATAGTTACAGTGTTGTAGTTAATGATTTTTTAAAAAGTTGATCCCCTTACTAGATTAGGTTTTAACAATTACTAATTTAAATTTAAGTTATTAAAAATCTGTTATGTTAAGATTTTTATTAAAAAAAAAATTAAGATTATAATTTATACTAATATACCTATTTAATTAACATTATTTTTGTGTTCAATAAATTTTTGAACGATTGTATTCAAAAATAATTTTGATTAAAAGAATTAAATTATTTATCTAATTCTCAAAGTTAAAAATATTATTCTTATATGAGAGATTCCGGAACGCTTTTTTTGGAGAGAACATATATTTTCAATTTAACTCTTACGGGAATAAATAAAAGAAAAACTAAATTCCACATAAATCCCATGGCTTTACTATTTTTCAAATAAAATAAAAAATAAATACATAATGAGTATAGGTCAATTATTTGAGTGCTTGTCTTGTTTCGTTCAACTTTATAAAATAGTCTATATTGAATTATTGTTATAAGTGCTCATATTATGATTTATGAAGTACGCAAAAAGTGAACTTCAGGCTTCTCTACTATTTGTTTATATTTTGAGAGCATCCTTATTTATAATTTTTATTTGAATGGAGACGGTACATCCTTTTTACGAAACAGATTTTTTTATATACATTATATTTATTTTTTTTTTTTGTAAAATCTTATTTAATAAGGTATTAAAATTTAATTTGATGAATTACATATATAAGCAACATATAACTACGATTATACTACAAAACCACTATGATATATAACATATGATTAAAGTATAATTTTAAAAAAATTACAAATTAATATACCTAATTTTAATTAATTTTAAATTATATAAATTGAATTTTAAGTCTTTATTTTTAACCTATCCCGGTCCTGCAAATAACTGAAGTTAGATAAAATTCAATAACTTCAATCAACGCTAATTTTTTTAAATCTAAAAATCCTTTTTTTATTCTTCCACTCTGAACACTACGCTTAATACTATAAATTTTGAAATCAATGTTACATCTCAATATCTCATCAATTAAAAACGATTTTAAGTTAATTTTATGTTCTACTGTTTTCACTGTAGTGTTAGCATACATATTTAAAATCGTTCCTTTGCTACAAATCACGATTATTTTTTTTTTAATTATTTTAAAAAATAATAGTGAGTAAAAAATGTACTAATATAAATAAATTCTATAAGACGCAAATAACTACATACATGTTTTTACATTAAAAGGAATTTTATCGAGTATACAAAAAAATAAACCATTATAATACATGTATTTTAAAATTAATTAGTAATAAAATAAAAATTATTTATAATCTACATTATATCAGTACCTAATTAAATTCAAAATTAGCATTTCTATACCTAATATATTAAAATAAATTGCAGTATTTTTTCATTTGTGAAAAAAATGAAACAGTCATAATTTTAAAATGACTTTTTTATATTTTTTAGAGATTATTTTTATTAAAAATAATTATATTAATATTGAAATTATATTAAAATATTGTTGCTATTATTTTGGTAATTTTTGATTTTATTATTATTTTTTTAAGTTATTTTCTAGTATTTTTAAATCAATAAATAAAGATCAAACAATTTTAACAAATTAAATTTTCCACTTGAAGAAAATGTGAAAATAAGAGTACTTTTACTATCAAATTTATGGTTCAATAATTGTGTCTAACGATTAAAATACTACACATGGTTCGTTTTACATGTTAAAAGAGTAAAATACTTGAACTAGAACTGTTATTTGGAGCATTGTCCGTTAGAAGGGTATGAGGATAGTGTATTGTAAGGTGCAGACCACAAACTATGCGCGTGCGGGTCACGTTGATCGATTCTAGTTAGTTTTAAAGTATAACAAATTTGTTATACCTTAAGACATAGTAATCAGCAATGTTGCACTACCTTTCAGTGTACTGATATTTTATGATTTTTAAACTACATATTTATATAACTACATTAATATGACATAACACACATTCATAAGAATTTTAAATATAAACAAAACATTTTCTTTAATTAATTTTTTTTAGATCTATTAAATGTGTTAAATAAAAACAAAAATTTTGCCTTTACCTAGAATAAACTGTTTAATTGATATCATGTTAAATTTATTTAAAAATTTTTATTAATATTCGGAAATAAATACCGATTACCGATTAATTACCATTATACTCACGCTATATTATGATTTATGAGGTTATAATATAAACGTATAATACGTATAATTACCATAGTTAATTAAAACATTTATTTTTATTTCAATTTATAATATACGAAGTATAATTTTATTTATCATACATATTAAGTATCATCAGATTATTTATATTAGGTAATCAAGGCTTATTTTTGTCTATAATACGCTTGTGTATAATATGAAATTCATTATAAGTAGCACAGACCACGAAATTATAAACAATACTCTCAATGTTTAATTTTTAACAATATTTATATTACATTAATTAACAACGAAGTATTTTTTATTAACCTGTACGAAGTCTTATTTACTTTTTTTAAATAATTATAAATATTAACAATTAGTAAGAAATTATTGAATACAGTGGTCTTAACCGTAAGTCCATAAATGATAAGTTATCGTCGAAAAAGAAAAAACATTGATTAATATTACTTATATTCAGATTGAAAAATAAATATGACAAATTTTGATGTATAAAAAATTTTATTTTTTATTAATTGTTTTGTTAATATATACATATTTATGCAAAAATTAAAAGGTTTAGTAGAAAATATAAACTTTGAATAAATTATACATAAAATTATAATTAGTTAATTTTTAAGTGGTTTTTATATTCAAATAAACACGCATTACTGTCCAGAGCATAAAATTTTTCTTACTATATATTCAACAAAATAAAAAATATAAACAATACAGATATCTTCTACAAAGATTTATCGAAAAAAAATCATATGTAATTTTTATAAATAATAGAAAATAAATATTCATTGGTCAAATTTTAAATTAATCAACTTAAAAAATTTACTATAAAAATATATGACTGTATAATGGATTACGTTAATGGAAGCATATTATACGTAAGTACGTATATTAAAAAAAAAAATTAAATCATATTATAACATGTATTCATCTACTAATAATTTTGTTAGTTTTCATAATAAATTGTCAAAAATCTTTTTATATCCACTTAACTTAAAACTTAAAAGTTTAACAAGGATAATACTATGGATACTAGAGTGAGAATAATTAAATTTCACAAAATTATTTCCTGATTCATGTATAGACGATTATAATTTTAATAACAATGAAAACTTTAAAGAAATTTTAGATATAGCTGATACAAACATTTACAAAAATTCTTGTAAAGAAAACAAAGTGTGTAAAAATAAATTGTGCTGTTCGATCGCTACTTTAACGTTTTAATGAAATACCACTTATGAGCTTTATAATAATGCTTATCACCAATTAACATTTTAATATATTATAAATATCTTTTTACAATCTTACATTTCCTTGAACTCAGATAATACTTTAAACTATTAATTTTAAAAACTCAAATTTTTTATTGCAATTGCTTAAATATTTGTTTTGAAACTGTGCGACTCAGTTACAATTATTTTAAATTTTAAAATAATATTAGCTAGTTTTTGAAATGCATTTAAATAAGATTATTTAGAAGCTTTTATGCTTATGAGTACCTATGTTATCAAGTAAAAATATCCAATGAAATAAACTTGATGAAGTTATTAAACAACAATAAAAATTTAAATCAATTAGTTTCACAAGGAGTTCAGCTATTAAAAATTAGCGGTTTAAAAATTAAACTCTATGAAATAATTATTATATTCTGATATTCATTTATTTATTAGATGTTATGCATTGCTGTATTTAACAATGGAATTATCAGTATGTAGGTACCTACTACCTATTAAATTAATTAATGACTTAAAACTTAACCTTATAGTCATTCATTACTTGATCATAAAATACTATATGTGAGATTAAATAATAAGTACATATTAAGTAAAGTATCGGAGAAAAAAATTTTTTTATTGAAAATATAAAGAAGAAATAGGTAATTATATGTCGCTTTGATTCCTATTTTTCGAAACGAAAAATATCATGAATCCACCCCTAGTTGTAATTCAAAAAATAGTCATAATAGAGATTTAAAATGCCATTGCGTATATTATTGTTTATTATTAAATTATTTAAGCGTTTTTAAGCTATTTACATCACAAACCTATTAGCAATATTCTACGGTATGTCGATATGTCGCCATTGGTTATTAAACTATATGTTAATTAAAGTATTAGATATACGAATGGTGTAATATTTTAATAATAATTAATTAGATAATATAATCAACCAACAATTATTTTAAGTTAATTTTACCATATTTTTAATAATGTTGGAAAAATAATATACTTATTTAATTGCATCAATAGTAAATATATTATAAAATATTCTTAGAAATAAAGACTATCACACGCGGTCTCCGGTCAGAATCGTTTTTTTTTTTTTATATTAAACAATTATACATAATTGAATTCAAATGTTACACATCATTATAACAACTACTCAATGACCAGGTATATTCAAAACCTACCATATAGAACAACATGACATTGAATATGTTGTATGATAACATTAATAATCATTAAATTATATTTAATTAGGTTTTTCTGTAGTAGGTACTATGGTTAAAAAAGTCCACACAGTTTAGATGCATTTTACCCTCGATTATTGAACGTATAAAATACTGAATGTCGCTTCAAACCACTTAATTATATTTTAAATGTTTATAAGCTATAATTAAAAAAACTATTGCTTCAAATTTGTTATCTATTTTAATATCTATGCAGTATACACTATACATGCTACAGATAATGTATGCTTACCATTTTTCTTCACTACCTTCAGTCTTTATGTCCGGTATATTAGCAATTTTCTTGTTCAAAAAAGCAACAGATATTTTAAGTAATGCCTAAAAAAATTATAAAAATATTTACTTAAACACTTAAACAATATTATGTGAGGTTGTTATTACTTTACAAATATACGGTTTAATATAAGTACTTACATCTGAATATGATTTCTCTATAGAAGATTTTTTGATCAAAAAACTCCTAAATCAAAAATAAATATTATTTTACACGTGTCAGTAGTAAGTATATTTGAATTAGACTGTTTATAGTTCAGTGAGTTATAACTTTGGGTACACAATGGATATCTGGAACGATTCTGATGTTTCAATAACTTGGTAAATAAAAACGGTGAAAAAATTGCTCATCAAATAGAATAAATTTGAACTTTTGAAAATGTATAAAATTCAAATATTTACATGAACGTGTACTACCGGTACACAAAAATAAAATACACAACAATGTTTTATCAATACAACACTTCATTGAACAAATGCAATCGATTGATTATTTATTTTATACTAATTATATAAAAAATAAACATTTCTAATTACAACAACGATTATTTCTTTAAAAAGTAATTTCTATCTGATGATTCAATCTGTATACTTAACTATACTAAATAAGATGATGAAATTATTTACCTTATGTCTTCCAACAGATCACATTCGTTTTGGTTTTTTAAAAGTAATTTTGCTATTTGTTCCGAGTGAAGATTTTTTAAAAATTTTACGTAATTTCCCTAAAACAAAATTAAAACATAGAAATTACTCACAAAATATTATAGTACAGACATTATTTATAAAAAACCACAAACTCTTTGTATTATAAAATAATTTTATAAAATTGTTCAATACGAGTTTATAATTCATATCATTTTAACATTTCAATTACTCCATATCCACAAATGGATTAATTAAAATCAGTGTTTTAGTTTCCGATTTTTATTTCCACATAAAAATGAAATAAAATAGAAATTTTAAATTTAAAAAAAAAAAGTATGTATGTTATTTGAACCATTTAATAAGGTGTGTACCTACTTAGCAGCGCTAAACAGAACTGTATCAAATAACATTCAGTAACTTGAACTATTTTCAAAATGAATTCAGATTATTCATTACCTACTCATTTAACCAATAAGAAATTTGATATAATTAATGGATTTCAACATAAATTTTTCCTTAAGTTAAAACTCTAAATACTAAACAGAAACTATCACTAAATTAAATTCTAACAAAAAAATAAATAATTCTAAGTAGGTGTAAGTAATGAATTATAAAAAATCAAAATACTGAACGAAAATAATTATTTCTTGTTTTAATATTAATAATTACTACAAGACTAGTATTTACCCATAAACCGTTATGTTATATTATGTTTATGTGTTTCAAGTGTGAAATCAATAAAATGCATGTCAACCCAACATTACTATTTATTTATTATTAACCAAATATAATAACTGAAACGAACAATACAATATTTTAAAATTTCTTGTTTAACTTTTTACAAATATCATAAAAACCTACGTTTTTTTTTAAACATTTCAATTTCATATAAATACAATCGGAAAATAAACAACAATAACGCTTCATATTTTAAGTGTATAATATCGGTAAAAGATTATTTCGTTCACATTACCATGTCTTAGATTTATTTTCAATAAATTTACTTATTTTTTATAAGTAATACATATTGTAAATTGTTGTTAAATATAAAATTACTATTTTCAAAGTCATACCTATGGTAATATAATTTAAACTTTAAATCATTATCATAATAAAAGTTTATCTGATGAACATTATTATTTAACAATATTTAACAAGGGCTTAATCAATATTATAAATGTTATTCGACGACGACTATTTTTTTTTATCTTTTCAAATAGCTTAATCCAGACTAATTCCACTGAACAGACTTAAAACAATGGTTAGCGAAAACAATCAAAGATGAAAATAATTGATTGAATAATATCTTCAAGACGTGTATATATGATATATCATCAAACATTAACCATATTTCTATTCTTTAATTATTCATTTTTTCAAATTCTAATTTTTAAAAATCTTTAAGCACACTAAAAATTCGTATTAAATTTTAGATTCAAGGATATTTACAAGGAATAGTAATCCTGTGGTGACACATACTAACTTTTTTCAAATAAGAGCAAACTTTTTTAATAAACATATTGATTTCTAATTTATTAAATTTAAAATTCTAAAAATGATAATTTTAATACAACGACTGTATATAAAAAATAAAATGAATGTTATATATTTAGTCTAATAAGTATAGGTAATGTATTTTTACTTTAAGTTGGACAAATCAAATAAATTATATTTATTACTTTAATCTCCAATAATAACTCCAATGGCTTTTGCTTAGGCCTACATTTTTGGAGGATGTCTTTTTGGTTAAAACTAGAAATTGGGTGACCTTATGACTGAATAAAAATTAAACATTTTGGAAACATTTTTAACAATTATGGTCACATTATAACTTATAAAGATATATAAACAATCTTTTAAATCTATTATAATTTATTATCATTCTTTAGTTAAGTACAAGTTCAATTACTACTCTTTCGACTTCGATTTATGTAAAAGACACTTTTAAAAAATCCATCTCCATAGCAACCTACAGTAAAAAAATTTTTTTTAAGTAATTTTTAATTTTTATTATAACAGGGACACTCCTTAAACCACATAGAAAATTTAAGTATTTGAAAATATGATCCATAAGCGTTGTAAAAGTATAAGTAGGAACTTAAAAATTTCAATTCATATAATTTGAATAAATTCATTATCAAAGAAAAGAATGGAGGTAAGCATTATGCTTGTCGAAATCCCCTATAATAATATGAATATATGGTGAAATAATGTTGAGTGCAGGCGTAGCTTATAACTACCGTTATTAGGGGGCACTAAACGAATTTTTATTTCATCGATGTGTGAAATTGCACGATTCACTGATCAAGTTATCGAAGTTAATACAGCGTGTAGCTGCTATAGCTATGTATACTCGTGTTGCGTATTTATCATTCGCCCAACGATGTCGTAGAGTCGTGTCGGCCCTCGGAGTACGACTTCGAGTAATGATAACAAAAAAAACGACGGCAAACAATTACTTCGTCAATACGCAACACCGTCACCGCCGAACATTATATCACGCCGAAGGAGAACGTTAAAGCAAAAAAAAAAAATTTTTAAATCAAAAAACTATATAATAACTTTTGACAGAAATGTCGCGAAATCATTCAACACAACTGGTTGGACGAAAAAAACATACGAACAAGAACCGACTGCACATAATAATATTATTTTGTAACAAGTAACAACTAACATCAATAATATCGTAACGCAATATAGGTGTATACAGTGACGGGTGGCAAAATTAAACGATACTTTTTTTTTTTGCCGGCCAACGCCAAATGAGATGACTGAATGATTGAATGACTTTTCGCACGAGCTTTTATTATCTTACCTCCTCCCACTTCCTCCACCCACCACCCGTCGTTTTATGGTCATCAATTAATGTAATAATAAATATAAACATTGCGAGGATTGTATGTACTCCTTACCTTCCTGGGAGGCGGTTGCATCTCGACGACGGCGAAGACGACGACGACGATTCACCGCGATCCAGCGACCCAACGATCTATGTACGCCCGCTGCCGTACGATGTCCGTTGTCGTGTCGTCACGATCGTCACGCGCACATGACGTGTAGTATAATATAATATGATTATTATTGTACACCACGCTGCGGAAGTGCCACTATAATATCGTTGTACTATAATAATATGGTATGCGGAAGAATGTGCGCGCGTCGGAGATATATGATAAATATAATATCGTTTTTGTCGTTGCGTCGCGTTTAATACGAGGACGCGATAGATCCGCTCGGGCCGTATTGTCAATAATCTTACGGTCCGATATATATGTACAATAATAATAATGTTATAAGTACTCCTGTTACCGTGTTCGGTGCCGATCTATTTTGCCAATTCAGTCCTCCTTCTCCTCCGCACCGCTATAGCCCTGTACCCGCCGTGTAGTCCGCGGTGAATCGCGCGATCGCACAACAGCCCGCGCGCGTCGCGTATAACCTATATACAGCGCGACCGACGACTGTACCGCCACCCGACGACGAACTTCGCGCGCTTGCGCCCCTAACTTTCGGCGTACGGATCCCTGTCCCCGACCCGACCCGACCCGACCCGTCCGCATCACCCCATCAATAGTGGTCGCATTGTCGTCGTATTATATATATAAATTTATCATATTATTATATATATATGATATGATTTCTCGTCGTAAGATCTATACAAAAACGATATAATATAGTAATATTATTGTAATATTATTGTGCCGCGGCGAAATCATCGTCGCAGCTTTCGTCGTTTTTAGTGCGTAGAAGACGAAAACAATAATCATCGAAAAGAAGAAAAAAAATCATCGGGATCGTTATTTACGATTATTTATCGCGATCGAGCCATATTATGCAACGATCGTATTATGGGGCGCACGTTTTACGCGATCGCCAGCGATGGGCCGTTTTACACGCATACCATATATTATTATATTCGCAGGCCGCGACGGCGCGTTATCGATCGCTCTCGTGACGACGGCGGTGACGCGGCTGGTCGGCTCGACCGAGTTCATATTATAATGATAATATTAGGAGTAGGTATAGAGGCGCGCGCGCGCGCGCGCGCGAGTATAATATGTGTGTACCGAATGATCCGTTTAACGTAATACATTTATCATTTCAAAAACTATTAACGTTTATAAAATTTTTTTTTTTTTTCATAATTTTAAGTCATAAAAAAACGTCGTTTATTACATTTATTTATTAATTTATTATTTTTTTTCTAAAGACAACGAGCGTTTTAAATTCCTTAATCCCTGTACCCCGTAAATTGTTGGTCCACTACTCTGCTCATAAAAGATTTAAATACTAATAAGTATAATAACTAATAAATTATACTATTCGAATAATTATTGTATTGATCGAAATATTCAGAATAACGCATAGCTTCAGGATACGACAATATAAATGTATACCTATGTTGTCATTCACAAATCACAAGAGTAAAAACCTTTAAAAAAATAATTACGACTTAAAAATATTATGTAGAAAATATATTTAAAAAAAAAACGTTAATATTTTCTAAAACTATGAGTGTCTCGCGTTAATTGAATCACTCCGTATTTTTATTTCATAATATTTTTTTCCCCGTGGTTTGGGACTATTTATAAGGTAAAAACGTAATAAAATGCGGTTGTTTGCACAAAACGTACGCTGTAATATTATACACTGTAAAATAAAAAGACTTTAGTTTTGAATGCCTGAATTTAGGCTATAACTTGTACATTCATTTTTCTGTATTAATAAATTAAACATAAACAATTAAAATTTCATGATTATACTTAAAATGATGTATATGCACTGACTCTTAACGGATATTTTATCAAGTATGTGTGTGTCGGAGGATTTTAACATTTTTGTATATTATCAAAATTAATCATGATTCCTTCAACTCGATATAAGTTTGATATGTTACTCATAAATCTATAACATAAACTATTATTAATAATAATCTAACATATTATATTCCACTTTTAACCTTTAATAATAAATACATTTTTAAATTAATAGAATATTTATTAATTAAACAATAAAACTTTTCTTCTTCTTTTTTTATAGTTTTCAGTCTTATGACCATACTGGGCATACTGATATATGTATTGTCATTTTTCTCTATCCATATCTAATAGTCGCTCCACGACTATTGTAACAACTAGGGTCTTCTCACCTTAACCTGAATAATTGACCTATTAGCCTTCGTCTTTTACCTTCGCTAAAGTAGTATCTATACACATTATATCACATGTGTAAATTTCAAGTGAACTTTCTTTTCACCACATATGACCAGCCCAAGAAAGTCACCTCTTTTTTAATTAATATAATATATATTGGATTTTTAATAAAGATTCTCACCTCCAGATTATTTCTGACTCTTCGCTTCCCTAAAATCGCGCATTTATATACTATAAATGCAAAAATTAAACTCAGAGTTCTTTAGTTAAATATGAAAACAATATAAATTTTGATCTAAAAAAAAAAATAAAAACATTTAACTAACTTATTATGGCTTATAATAATGGTGAATAAATGTACCTATATATAAATATTATACGTGATTTTTGCATGAAGTTTTTCTAGATTTTTATCGTCATATTAATAAAATATAATTACATAACTGTAATTTAAAATTTTATGAGCATAAAATTAAACTAATTTATTATTTTTTTCCGGTAAAGTGATCATTTTAATTAATTTAGTCATTTTTATACTTATTTACGATATTATTAATTAATTTCGCCGATTAAAACTTTTTACACAAATTTTATGAGTAATTTTTACATATTTTGATTTATAAATAGTTAATATAATCTGTATACATGCTGACACATGCCACATACCGTAGCTACTTAATTAATATCTTTAATTTAAAATATTTTTTCATTTGAGATTTTTATACTTATTTTTACTTATGCTTATTTGGAGATTTTAAGTGCATTTTTTTAGATTTTTTAATGTAATAAGTTCGCTGCCTTATAGTTATGACTTATGAGTGTTTGACAATCGCAAAAAACCAAAAAAAAAATAAAAAAAAAATACAATTATTGTAAAACAATACATTCATCAAAAACTGAATGTAAACATAAGAAATCGCAAATCATAAATCAATAAATAATAAAAGATACACCAAGAACAAATGCTTTTAAAATGTACCTATTAGATTAGTTCATGCATAATAAAATCAAAATAGAAATAATAATTCAAAACCATGTAAATATTCTATAAGATTTTTAGTACATATATACGAATAATACGATGTAGAAGTGTACATTTTTTAAATATTTATACCATAAGTTATCATTAATTAGTAATTACGTAAGTTTTTCAAATTAGATAACTATACACAGTTTAATTATCAGAATATAATACAACTAGAATTAGCTTATTAACTATGTAATAACTAATGAGGTACATATTCACAAATAATACGAAAGAATATGATAAGTAAATATCGGCCATCTTGGCGTACCTACGCGCTCTACTAGGTATCCAATTTATATCTTGATTATCGTAACTAAATGGTAATAAAGATAAGCACTCTCTTTTCCTGCATCATATAATTTTTGATCGTATATTTAGGCTAGGATCACACTATGCGTTTTGCCGGTTCCCGACCAACCGGAGCCAAACCGCAACACTTTAAAATAAAATAGGTTTAAATATAAAATGCGTTATCAGGGCCAGACTAGACCGATTTACGGAACCGATTAAAACCGTCTGGAAGCGACCGCAACGTGTTGCGGCCCAACCGTCCGGTTGCGTTTCGGGATGTAAAGCACAACACATGCAATGCAATTTGTCCGATCACATTTGCGAGGATTATCGGTAACCGAAATTGAAAATTTTATGAATAATTAATAACCATTTTTAAATTTAAATAATTAAAAAACTTAAAATATATTTGTAATATACATATATATATTATATTTTATTTATATTATAGATGTATATTATTATTTATTAGCATAATTAGTTGATACACGTTTTAAATAAAAACAAATAATTCTAATTACACAACCTTTTTATTATTTTTTTACTTATAATATTAGATCCATTTCGTTTAAATAAAAAATCAGTTTAAAATTTAAATTTAAATTAAAAACGATATTCGGGCTTTTTCATCTTATTTGTATGTATTCGGTTACCGATAAAACGCACAGTATGATCGATCGTCCCGATTGTGGTTAATCGGGATAGTATTTTTCGGTTGCCGACAAAACGCATAGTGTGATCCTAGCCTATGGCTATAGGGCGATAATTCTTTAGTACAACTCAATACGATATATAATTTAATAATACGAGTATAATATTATATAATAATTATATGTATAAGTATAATAACTATACAGGTATCTAATTGAAACGCAGTGAAGAGGTATGAATAAAAATAACACAAATGAGTATTTTAAAATTGTCTTAAAACACACATAACTCGCTTTAAAATTAAAATATAATAAAAAGCCTATGAGATGCCCTAGATAATAATCTCACTTTTAAACTTCAAAAGAGGTCAATTTACTCTAATTTTCAATTTAAAGGAGTTAACCCGGTTAACCGTGATCTTCTGAACGTAATATTTGCTATGTTACGCATTTGTAAGACGGAGATAACATATGCGGGTACGACGTCCTCTTAAACGTATTTCTAAGAGACATGTCATAAGTATTTTAATATTTATTTATTTTATTTTTTTATATTTTCTTATCACGTTATTATATTTATAATTATCAATACTAATGAAGCGAATGAGAAGACGACAAATACGGCGCGTTTATAATAATATATAATGATTTTTTATAATACAGTAGACGCCGCTTATAAGACTCACGGATATAAGGTTCAATCGCTTATTAGACTCAAAATCGTCTGGAACGGTCCGGACGTATCCAAATACATTAAAAAAAAATCGGTTATAAGACTCAAATTTCGTAAAATAAATAGTAGAAAATAAACTTTTTTGGTTATAATTTAGAAATAAATTGCTATTGAAAAATGAAATAATATTCGTGTTGATTATTTCTAGTTTCTGTTGGTATCTTATAACGTATAATAATTTTTATCGCAGATAAAAGTTCACATTTATCGCAACGATAATTGTTATTATAGTGTACTGATTATCTGGCGGCTGCACAGTTATCGTAATATGTAATATTTACCTATTATAATTTTAGTATTTTTATCGGGATTATAAAATGTATTCAATAATAAAGTATGTAATATGTAATATGTGTTAATGTATTAAAATCAAAGCAAAATATGTAGTAAAATAAAATTTATAAATACGTAATTATTTTTTTTTCCACTTCGCCTATAAGACTCATTCGTTTATAAGACTCACTTTGTGCTGGTCCCAAAGTGAGTCTTATAAGCGGCGTCTACTGTATATCACTTATTTGTAAGAATTTTTGTTCGTATTTAAAACCACTTATTAAGATTTATAAGATATATTGTTACAAATCTAAA